TGTCAACTTGATCCTATGCCGACCAATTTAGTAGTCGGCATGTCTGATATGCTTCACCCCATCATCACTAATGTCGTGAATTCTTCACTTTCCTTGGGACACTTTCCATCTGATTGGAAAACGGCCCTTGTGGATCCAAGACTGAAGAAGACCAAGCAAGGGACTTCCTTATCCAATTTAAGACCTGTGAGTAATCTGCAATACCTCTCTAAATTGGTTGAAAGGGCAGTTTATGATCAGACAACCGATCACGTTACTCAGTCGGGCTTGTATCCCATCCTCCAGTCAGCCTATCGACTGGGTCATAGCACAGAGACTGCCCTATTGAAGATACAGAATGACATACTAGCTGATAAGGACAATCAACGAGTTACTGTCTTGGTATTGCTAGACCTGAGTGCAGCATTCGACACGGTTGACCACCAAGTGTTGTTGAATCGCCTGTACGTGACGTATGGAATTACAGGTACCGCTCTTAAATGGTTTCACTCGTATTTATCAAACAGGAAACAGCGAATCCTGATTAACGGGAGCTATTCGAGTGACTTTGGTCTGCCTCAAGGGGTACCTCAAGGATCATGTCTAGGTCCCTTGCTCTTCACGTTGTACGCAAGTAAGCTCTTCGATGTCGTTGAATTCCATCTCCCTAACGTTCACGCATACGCTGATGATACGCAGCTCTATATCTCATTTAAGCCGGATGGTTCTGCTACTGAGACGGATGCTGTTGACGCTTTACAGGCTTGCATCAGGGACATAAGATCCTGGATGGTCCAAGACAAACTTCGGCTGAACGATGCTAAGACCGAGTTTCTTATTATAGGTACACGCGCACAGTTAAATAAGGTTACGATAAGTGACTTGCAAGTAGGTGAGGTAAAGGTTTCTGCTGTCTACTCTGTTAGAAATCTGGGTGCTTGGTTTGATGCAAACATGAATATTGCCACACATATTAACAGCAGATGTCATGATATTTATTACCATCTACATAACATCCGGCGTATTAGAAAGTATTTATCATATGACAATAGGAAGTCCATTGTACAGGCTATTATAATGTCACGATTAGACTATTGTAACGGTCTATTATATGGTACGCCCGCTGTTCATCTTGGTAAGCTGCAACGCCTGCAGAACGCGGAAGCTCGGGTGGTATGTACTGTATCTAGGTATGATCCTATCACACCATCCCTGATCAACCTGAACTGGCTTCCGGTTACCCACAGAATAGAATTCAACATAGCAATGCTAGTTCACAAATGTATCTACGGCGTCGCACCACAATATCTTTTAGACTTGATAAAAATCAAAGAGAACTCGAGGTATCAGTTGAGATCATACCGGGGCATACTCCTAATGGACAATACCTATAGAACAAAAAAGACACTCGGGGATAGGGCGTTTGAAAATGCTGCGCCCAAAGTATGGAACCGACTCCCTAGAAAATTTTTAAAGTTTTACTAAAGACACATCTTTTTAAATTAGCTTTTTATTAGTTCTTTTATTAACTCATATTTTACTTTTATTGTTTTCCGAAAATTGTAAATTATTATTATTAATATCATTATTTGGATTAGCCATTTATTACTTTAAGATTTTACTGTTGTAATGCGCATTCGATCATATCTTTATCGCATGCTAGACTGCGCAATATAAGAAATAAACATTATTATTATTATTATTAAATCGGAAAATCATGTTTTATCCTAATAATCCAAACCTGCCACAGAGACAAGTTAAAACTGTCCGCGCAGCTCTAAAAAATTGGAACTACTGCTTGTTTATCGAAAGTCAACTATAATGTTAAACATTAATTATCTCCCTGGCGTGCCCTGTCCAAAGTTCGTCATTACATATCAGGTTCCTCAGGTCTCATCGCATTTCTCATCCAGATCATCGGTTGAAATCGCTCTAGAGAAGAAATTTAGTAGCTTTTATTGTGCGCTCATATATAAAAATCACGCCGCCTGTGTTATTTACTCATTGCCTCTGGCCATGGGGAAAACGGGGAAAAGGAAACGAAAGAACAGGGATCGCAGGTACGAAAAGAGATGAAGTTACTTTTATAAACCTTCACCTAGAATTTTCTGGAGCCTTTTTTCTGGCTGAAATTTTCGAAAAGGTAAGTTTTGATCCCTCTAATTTTCGGATCACTAGACTTTCAGCTAGGAAATCCGAACAGATGAAAACTTTTTAGGGGATAAAAATATGCCGATATCTACCGTTTAAATACTAATATACGTTCAACAATGCTATGTTTAAGTGGTTTTTAACTATATTGTCGTTGGGTGCCCCTGATTGGCTCAGTATTGCTGTGCTTTGCTGGAGATCTTGATTAACCTTTTTTTCCCGATTTTATTCTTAAAAAATGGTCTCGTTCCCACTCACGATCGTCCGGGTCACGGACAAATTTTATTTTGTTAATTGTGTCATTAACAAAGTGGTCGAATCAGTTGGTTCTTAACAGCTCATATTTGTTGCAACTCCAAAAATGTCCGATTTGACCTAGCTTGACCTATCCGATTACCACCAGGAGTTTGTAATCGGACAGGTAACCAGGCGTAGTCAATCGATAGAAATCGTTATCAGAAATCAATCGACATCATTCGTCGATTATTATCGATTGATATCGGAAATCGTAGAGATCAAAGTCGTGGAAAAAAGGTATCGATTGATATCGATCCTGTTTATCTTAATCCGAATTTTAGACTTCCAAAAAGGCGTATGTTGCATTAAACAAAAAGAAATCATCTTTAAAGGCTTTCAACAGACTCTGCGAAGATGGACAAATATGCTTTATAGATCCCGCAACGCCTTCTGGGTTAATACCGTAATTGCAAGTGTTCATGTTTCTACGTAGGAAAAAACGTAGCCTGCGTAGCAGGCGCTTGGAAGTAGCGGGCGAAAGAGAGAACGGGCGCGCGCGAGGGAGACACGCAAGGGGTGAGGGAGCTTCCTCTCCCCTCGCGTGTCTCCTTCTCGCCCGCCCGTTTTTTCTTGAGCCCACTACTTCCAAGCGCCTGCTACGCAGGCTAGAAAAAACGCATTTTATAAACTGGGCGTGCCTTGACTGGGCAGCCCAGTTAAAAAATTGGGTTTCTGTTTCCTCTTTCTGCAAAGGACCGCAAAGCAACTAAGCTTAAATATGGAGGCATTCCTAATATCTTCAAGACTGTCGACTTGATCTGAAACACTCTGTTTAAATTCAGTTAAATTCCGTTAATTGGTAGCTCGCACTAACGAGTTCCAGAGTGCTTCTCGATAAGGACCACTCTGAAGACTTTGTTAGTAAATTGGTCATGTAAAGTCAGTCAATGTACCGAACCATTCCAAATGTACGTTCGCCATCTTTTACTGTAGGTGGAAAGATAAACAGCGTGTGCATTTGGTATAAAGATTTCGTGTATGAGAAATGACAGGATTCATTCTTGCAATCACCTCAGACAAGTGGCCATGTGCTTTGCTTGAGGTCGCTGAGCTATTTTAGTATACTCTTATATCTTGGGCTCGCGCTAAGGGGGCCTGAGGACTATTTGTGCCAGAAGAAAAAAAAACGGCCCAGCCTATTTTTAAAGGAGCTGTGTTACGAAGTTCGGCCAAATTAGGGAATTACAAAATGCCCGTTACATCCAAGAGAAACATAAAAATAACCGCTTAAAACATTAAAGGAAGGTTAAATTAACATAACAGATGCAACAGATGCCACTGATGGGCAAAACTGAGGAAGATTGAAACGGATTAAAATTAGGGTTTTTGAAAACTGTTTCCTAACAGTTTTCAAAGTTTATCTCTGCTGTTTGCAACTTCAAAGATAATGCTCAGGAGACATACTTGTTTGTCTCGAATCTCTGACTTCGTCATTTACCTGTAATTTCTTTGTCTACTTTAAGCTCCATATAGCGATTGAGGGCGAGTAATTGGCAAAATTAAACAAAATGAACTGGACTGCCGTGACACAGCCCCTTTAAGCTCGTTCGTTGAAACATGATATACCAAGTTGAAACATGATATACCAATTTTACCCCCGATAACTCGAACCATGATTTAAAAGTCGGGGAAGAACAATCTACTGGCGTCCGAAACACCGGGGGTACTCCCATACATTACGTATACGGGTATGTGCCGCCAAACGGGGTCGTGATTTTGAAGCTCCTGATTTAGAACGGGGTATCCATTTCAGAGGCGTTTTCTAGAACGGGGTATAAAAAATTGGGGATCACGGCTTTATCTTCTGCTTAAAATTGTTGCTGATTATGAAGAAGCGTTTACCTTGTCGAACTAATAAAGAAATATCTTTAAAAAAAACAGGGCTATTTCAATTTACAAACTTCCTAGAACGGAGTATAAAAAATTGGCCCATTTCTAGAACGGGGTATCAATTTTAGGGGAATTTTTTTTTTAGAACGGGGTGTCAATTTGGAGTCCCGGGCGGCACATACCCACCCAAAAAATACCCAAGTGCCCCCCCGGGCCGAAACATTGAATTTTGAATTTCCCGTTGAAGTGTTGTAGGCTTACTGGTAGAGGCTGATGATGTTGTTTGTCACAAATCTAACGAGAACAGCTTTACTTCCTCTTTATTTTACTTATAATCCGAGAAGTGTCTTTCAATTTTTCTTAACATTTCTACAAATAAATGTGATTAAAATGTTCACTGTAAGGTAAAAACCGTTTTCTTTTTACTTCCGGCTATTTTCTTCGAGCTCCCGATAACTCTAACTTTTTTCAATTTCCCTTGAAGGTTCGAGTTATCGGGAGTCGACCGCACATTACAGTCATTTAAAAATAGAAAACACAAAGTCTTGTTGACGGAGCCATGAAAAACTACTTGGTGAAACTCGAGCTTGTCACGGCCGTATTAAAATACGGCCGTGACACACTGCGATATCCCGTAATTCTTGGAAGTCAACACCAGTGCAATACATTGGATTCTGAGAATCGAACAAGACGGTCTTCGCGTTTACCGAGTTCTGACCTCTCCAGATGCAATCCAAAAGAATATGTTTTCATCCAAAATTTTTGCTAGTGTCCTGTTGTGTTCATTGTTCCTCAAATGTGCTAGTGAAAGAGACATCTTCGTTTCACCAGGCGGAAATGATTCTTCAAATTGCAGCGCGAGCTTCAAATGCAAGACTCTCGACAGAGCTTTAGGGCTCGCTCGTGGATTAAACTCAACAAGAATATTACTGAGCAAAGGAAATTACTCGCTGAACACAAGCCACAGTTTTACGAAGATTGTTTCCTTTGGTCTCTTTGGAAATACTTCTTACGATCATGACGATCAAATCAGCTGTCAAATTACATGCGAGCCAAATGTTAGTCTCTCGTTCACCTTCAGCGAAAATATTTCCTTTGAGGGAGTCAAGTTTCGGAAGTGTGGTGGTTGGCATCAGAGTTCTGCGGGGATAAATGAGCAATACCCATATTTTAAGGGGGCAAAATTCAAGACTGCCTTAGATTTTCGATACTGCAGAAACCTTCGTATATCAAATGTTGAAATTTGTTCGTCCCCAGGGCTTGGGGCTAATTTGTACGATGTTGGGGGAGTTGTGAACTTCACAAACAGTTTGTTTGCAGATAATTACGCTTTAAACGAAAGTAGTTATGACAGATGGATTTTTATCAGCCCAGATGGAAGCTATGTTTACTCCGGAGGCGGTGTTAATCTCATGTTAAATCAATATAGTCACAATACGTGGAACGTGACTCCTGGTGAACACGATTCATATCAACACAATAACATTTACGAATTTTCAAATTGCCATTTTATGAGAAACAGAGCTATGTGGCTGAACAACACCAAAGATAATAACGGAATGAACACACTAAAACTTCCTTTTAACCGTGGAGGTGGATTAGCCATGTATTTCCAAGGGAATGCAAGTGGGTGTCACATTAAAATCCAGTCATGCGTTTTTGCGAACAACAAAGCATCGTGGGGTGGAGGTTTTCAAGTTGAAATGAAGGACAAAACGGAGAATAATTCTCTTGAAGTAAGAGCAACGGTCTTTCGAGAAAACTTTGCCTCATTTGCAGGTGGTGGGGCTCGGTTAGGAAGCTTGCCGGAAAAGCATGTTCAACTTCGTATAAATCAATTCGAGATGACAAACTGTTCATTTGAAAACAACAAGGCAACATTGGGAGGCGGTGCGTCGCTGTATGGAGCAACAATTGCCACCAAGCACACGGACCCCGTTGTAACTCAGTTTTTCTTTAAGAATGATAGCAGCTGGATCGGAAACATTGGAACCGTCGGAGCTGCCGTCAGTGCTTTTCTAATTAACCGAAATGAAGACCTCATCGGACCGGAAATCCCATACCGGGTATGTTTTGAGAACACTGTATTTCGGTCTAATAAGGTAGTTCCCCTTCATCATAACCTAACAATTGGGCAAGGGACATTTTACAGCCAGCAGGTTCCCCTTATCTTTCAAGGGAATGTACAATTTGTAAACAATACCCAGTCTGCGTTGGTTCTAGATGGTTCAATAGTCGAAGTTAAGGACAGACTAAATTTTCTTAACAACACCGGTATCAGGGGAGGGGCGATAGCAATGTACGGACGGTCAAGAATTCTTTTGCACGAAAATACGTCTGTATTAAAATTTGAAGGAAACAATTGTGAGGACAAAGGCGGAGCACTGTACATTCAAGCCCCAGGCTCCCCTCTGGTGAGCTTCAAGGCAACTGGTGCAGCTAATCAAGTTTGCTTCTTCGGATATTCCAATCCTGTGAAAGATTATGATGAATGGAACACAACTGTTATTTTTAAAAATAACAATGCCAATTTAGGAAGGTCGGTGTTCGCGACAACACTTCAGTATTGTCGGCGGCCCGGTGAGAAACGACAAGGGAACAATGTTCTAAAATGGAAGTTTATCAGATTCGACGACCAGCCATCAAATTTGAACACCTCACTTCTAAGAAGAGTTATGACGGAACCAGTGAACATAACGACCCATAAGAAAGAATGGGAAGTTGCCCCTGGTGAGCATTTTCATGCAACCGTTAAGTTGTTTGATGAAGTTGGGAATGTCGTCTCGGGGATTGTTAATGTCAGTATTGAATCAGCTCATTCTGTTAAACTCCTTAACCCATCGCGGTCGCTTTTTCTTTCAACCGAAGGAAGAATCACAAATATCACCTTGCGTGGAGAAAATGGCGGTATTTTTGATGTGAAACTAAATTGCATTGGAAGTCAACTATTGAAAAAACAGATACACAACGTAACACTAAAAAACTGTTACGCTGGTTTTTATTACTGCAGCGAAACGTCTTCATGCAAATGCATGTCAAGAACTAACACGAGTTCGGCGAAAGGAATATCTCACTGTGAAAAAGGAAAAAGTGTTTATATAAAAGAAGGTTACTGGGCAGGAACAGTGGCGGGTAACTTTGTTACTTATTTATGTCCTCTTCAATACTGCAAGAACTCAAGGGTTTATAAGTATTCAGAGGGCCACGTGTGTAGTGATTCCAGAAAACCGGACAGCATCCTTTGCGGGCAGTGCAAGCAAAACTATACTATTACCTTTGGAAGTGAACTTTGTTTTAAAAGCTGCAGTTACTGGCACTTGCTGTACCTGTTGCCGATTGGCTTTGGTTTCCTCCTTGTCGTCGTCATAGTGATGCTAGTAGACCTTGATTTCTTTACTGGGTACCTGAACGCTTGGCTGTATTCATATCAAATTATGGATTTACTAACACCTGACGGATTTCACTTTGACCCGTTTATCGAGTTTATCACTGCTTTTACTAATGTGCACATAGAAATCGGTGGTCGGAGCTTTTGCTTGGCAACAGGATTAGACGACGCCGATAAACTAATGCTGATGTATGGCATTCCCTTTTATGTCTTGATCGTTGTCGCCATTCTAACTTGGTTAGTTGGTCGTTATCCGCGCTGGTGCTTCAGCAGAAAAGTCCTAAGAAGTTCTCCTTCTGCTCCTTTTCGCGCTGTTTGTACTATTCTTGTGTTCTGTTACACAGATATAACAAGAGTTTCCCTCCTAATCCTTTCTCCCGCCCATGTTGGATCAAAGACAGTTCTCTATTTTTATGGTAATCTCGATTTTTTTCATAAAAAGCATATCGCTTATGGAATCGTGGCCATCCTCTGGATTGTGATCTTTGTGCTTCCATTTCCGTTGATTCTGTTGTTTCGCCCTTATTTGACAAGAGAACTTCGTCCAGTGTTAAATCTAAATCGCTGGGGACCCTTTTTTGATGCTTTTCAAAACTGCTTCAAGAATCAGTATCGGTGGTGTGCATCATTCTATTTTCTTTGTCGACTGGGCATTTTGTTGATGCACACTTACATACCGTCCGGTTCAGCAAAACGAGTCGTGTTAGAAGGCGCTTGCATCCTAATTCTCGTAATTTTTGCGTACGTGAGACCTTACAAAGAAGCAAGGGATGTCAATGAAGGCGAGAGTAGCTACGAGTGGATTTATAAGTCAGATGTAGCGCTGTTGACAACCCTCGCACTCATCACCGTCATCAGCTCACCAATTGATAGTTCTTCTTTTACTACCGAGGACGAAAAAAAAGGTTTGAAAGTGGTTGTTTATGTTTTGGCATACGTTCCCTTAATAGTCCTGCTGGTGTTGGGTTACCGAGTTTTAAGGAGGTACTGCCCGGCCATAGATATAGGAAATTGCGTTACAGAGGAAGAGGCGATAACACCAATTGTTACCGAAACGTCTGATAGTGCTTGCAGCGGCCGAAGAGAAACATCTGAACTAACTACATCTCCTGAAAACAGCCTGGCAAGAAACCCAAGAACCAGAAGACCCAAGACTGTCTAATAGTTAAGATAGCTCTTACGGTAAGGGCTGGTTCCCCTGGAGGGGAGGGGTGACTCACATATTAAAGAGATAGGATAGAAGTGCCTGAGAAAAATTAGATTTTCTTGTTCAGACGATATCATTGCAAATGTGGTAGAAAATTGATTTGTTTTTGTTTTGTTTATTAGGAAATTGCCTTGAGGATACTCTTTATGATAAACGATGGCAGTTTCCAAGTTCTTTAAGTTTCCCTCTAAACTAAAGCCGTGACTTATTAAGTCATTATGTACATGATTGTTTCTAATTTTTTATATTCTTAAAAGAATCGAATTACTAGGAAGTTGAGTATCAAATTGAAGACCTTATGTCGACGGCAATTAGATGAATTAGATTTATTTTAAGGAGAATGTCTTCAGTACAAGCTGTAAAAAACGCATATCCGTCGTGGTAAATTTTTATGTCATCTATGAAAAATTGTAGTTATAGCTTGTAATTGACAGAGGAGGCCTAATTTACATAAGCTACATAGTTCCCTTCAGGCCCCTGCCATTACTTTCTCCATTTTTGTCTCTTTTTTGTTCCTTTAATCATTTATCTGTGAGGCAAATAAGTCAAATACAAATACACTTTATATAAATAAAGTTTTCGTTTCGGTTGCAACAACTTATATGGGTGATTATCGACTAAACATTTTGAAAGATAGTTTTATTTATTCACAATGAAAATAAAATAAATGGAGATGTAAAGAATCAACCATAAGAGGACACAAAAAATCCGAGCCCCAGATGGGATTCAAACCCACGACCCTCCGTGTTCTAGATCGGATGTTCTAACCTCTGAGCTACTGAGTCCTCATGGTTGATTCTTTACATCTCCCTTTATTTCCTTTATAATATTAATATCAGTGGTATAGGTTGGTTGGTTGGAGGCTCCTTCATGGGTGAGACATTTCTTACTATTAATGTGACTGTGTGATACAGTTAAGCCTAGTGTATTGCTAGTGATGGACTGTGTGACTGCGAGATGCGGTTCGCAAGTCCAACCCACAGAAATGATCCTTGCTCACCGACGAGTCCTCAGTAGCTCAGAGGTTAGAGCATCCGATCTAGAACACGAAGGGTCGTGGGTTCGAATACCATCTGGGGCTCAGATTTTTTCTGTGTCCTCGTATGGCTGATTCTTTACACCTCCCTTTATTTCCTTCATGATTTTAATATCAGTGGTACAACGAAAATAACTGTCGTAAATCCTCTATTAACCCCTCTCTCTAATAAGCCCCTTCCCGCCTCCCCCACCCACCTTATCACTCACAAAATCAACAAATAAGACATGGACTGTTCCTGCATGGTTGTCATGTGCTTAATGAGCTTTTCCACTTTGCGTTCTAGTTCTTTATGGAGAATTGACACCATCTTCTGGTTGTTTGAAAAAGCAGTATCGCGCCTCGTTTCGTTAAATTAAATAAGCTTCCCCCTCTCGATAAAGCCCCTATCAAACTTGCTTGAAATGAATAAGCGCCTCCCCTCCCCCCCCCATCCCTCGGGGGACTTACTAGAAGATTACGGTATGTTGGCAAGTACGCGCCACGATTGCAACGAAGGTGCTTTCGTTATAGCAACTGCTATACGACTGATGAGGCTGGTTGCCTTGGCAAATGTGCAAAATTTATTCACAATATTTCAAAACTCCATTAACAAAGTGACCACGAAGTGACACTTAACGGATCTAAAACGACTCAAAACAGTCATTTGCATCTGCTTTGTTTTTATTTTCACGATAAGATGTTAAAATAGTAGTGTGTTAGTACGACGAAGAATAACCAATATACCGTACGCCGGACAAGAGATGGTCATGAAAGTGAAGAATGATCATCGCAGTAAATTTTCCAATTTAAGCAATTGGAAAGAAGAAGCCTGAAAAAAACAGGACTTCAATGGGATTCGAACCCGTGACCTCTGCGTTACCGGTGCGTTGCTCTACCAACTGAGCTATGAAGCCACACATTGGGAGCGAGGTCAATTTATTGAGTTCTTATCTCCCGTGAGGAGTGAAATGATGTGAAGTATACATGAAATAATTCATTTTGAACTGCGGTTGTAGATGATCATCGCAGTAAATTTTCCAATTTAAGCAATTGGAAAGAAGAAGCCTGAAAAAAATCAAGGCTTCAACGGGATTCGAATCCGTGACCTCTGCGTTACCGGTGCGTTGCTCTACCAACTGAGCTATGAAGCCACACATTGGGAGCGAGGTCAATTTATTGAGTTCATATCTCCCGTGAGGAGTGAAATGATGTGAAGTATAGAAAGCATTCTTCACTTTCATCTACAACCACAGTTCAAAATGAATTATTTCATATATACTTCACATCATTTCACTCCTCACGGGAGATATGAACTCAATAAATTGACCTCGCTCCCAATGTGTGGCTTCATAGCTCAGTTGGTAGAGCAACGCACCGGTAACGCGGAGGTCACGGGTTCGAATCCCGTTGAAGCCCTGATTTTTTTTTTCAGGCTTCTTCTTTCCAATTGCTTAAATTGGAAAATTTACTGCGATGATCATTCTTCACTTTCATCTACAACCGCAGTTCAAAATGAATGATTTCATATATACTTCACATCAAGAGATGGTCATTTCAAGTTGTTTTGATTATTGACCATAACCTTAGAAATACGAATAGTCAATTGACTAATGACGACTGGTTCTTTTAATTGTCCATATGCATGATGATGTCTGAAACGTGACTGGCTAATTTGCCTAGTGACCAGAAAATTTGTTAAGGCACCAAACTTTCAACGAGATTGGTTAAAGAAGTGAAGTCATTAGGTTATTAAGGACCAAGAACGTTGCGCATGACCCGTGATAGAATGATATCCATACTCTGGCCTTGAGTGACACACATCTAGCCCTGCTAAAAATTAGCTTTAATTTGATATCAGAATGCATGATGTGTACTAGAATAGAGGGGGACCTATAAGATCCAAAAATTTGACTCCGGGATTTAAACTCTAACAAGGGCAAATATGATACCCTATATAAGGATGGAGAACCTAAAAACCCTTTACCCTTTCGGACAGCACATACCTATGTAGCTGATATATGGGAGTACCCCCGATCCCCCCGGGGCCTTCCCTCATTAACATAAAACATTATTATAAAGTGCTTTGGTTCGTTTTACATTGTCCCAGATATTAATATGGTCATTTCAATAAGAAAAAAGCTAAATTAATCATTCGCTAAACTTGGCACATCTAGTCCATTAACCAAGTAAGAAGATGGTAGACATTCAACTATCAGGCACAAACAATTTTCATTTTCGGAAAATCGAGTCAGTTCTTAGGGCAGAGGAGAAGATGATCGCCTTTTTTGTGCTTGCCTCTCTAGCTTTTCACCAAGGAATTTCAAAAGGTACAGTAACAGTGGAGAAACGTTTCGATAGTTTCATTTATTTTTTCTGTGGAAAACTGGACGTGTAAAGAGGAGATTTCTAAGCAGACAACGCTTCTTTCAGCCTTCCAGCCTACTGCTTGTTGTGAGCATGAGCGAAAAAATATTTTTTCATGTGTAAGTCAGTACTTCGAATTGTTGGAATGAATTCAACAATCGGTGAGAACTGTTGCCTTAAGTATGCAGGGAAGGTTTTTGTGCAGTCACAAACGCGTGGCCTCCTTCTGTGTATCTAAGTTCACCACTACGTTTGATAATAGAAATAGATTTGAAATAGATTTTAAAAAGGTATTTAATTAGAAGGGCATCTGTTGAAACTTACTCGGCTACTTTTACTGGAAGGCTTTGGAAAATTCAGTTTTACAAGAATACTAACACAATTCGTCCATGTGCATGCGTGGCAATGACCAAACAGAGAGATACCAAGTGAATAAAATTCTACCTGTAACTTTTAATTATGTGAAAGGAAACGATTCCTTTATCACCAATATTTCACATTTCAGAGGTGGATAAATCAACAAAGCCAAGAACTGTACAGTTCAACATCACCTGGTACAAAAATCGGCCCATTAATTTTAGCACGTTTTTTGTCATCCTTGGAGGAAATAATATAAAGGGGTACACACTTGAAAGTGTTCTGATTGTTCGAAAGGTCGAATCAAAATATTGCCTAAGAATTTTGATGTAACTTATTCTCGAGAGAGTAAGAATTTCTAGATACCTGTTTTCAGACTCCGTCTTCTTTTCCTTTCAGTTTTCGAAAGTTGGGATTCTCGCATATCACTACCCAGATCTGGCTATTGTCCGTAAGAAAGAGATCGAACCCCCTTAAAATGCTTGGCGGTTTCGGTTTGTCTTGGCGGACAGTCCATACATTGACTCCCGTTTTAACTTCTCTTCCGCGTCCACCTCTAGTAAGGCAATGACTAGTTAACCATTTCACCACCAAAGGTGGGCAAATCATGGCCAAATTAGAAAAAATCCAACAAAATTTCAAATGCCCCTATATTGACCACGGCCGTGACAATTATACTTACTACTCTACGAGTGAAACTTACAAATCAAATCTCACATACCTTGCAATATACTTTCAATGTTATCTACGTGATTCAATGCCGCCTTTGTAATTTGCAATATATTGGGCAAACCTCGCGTGTCTCCTTGTCTCCTCGCGCGCCCGTTTTTCCTCGTGCCCACTAAACCCAAGCGGCTGCCACGCAGGCAATGAAATATTATAGTCTGTAAGCAGCCCCTGACCTTTGTTTGGACGGAACACTCTCCTTACATAACCTGGTGAACGTCACCGTTTAGGCCGAATAAGAGTTGGGGGGGGGGAGGGGGGCTAAGTTATTATCGCTTTAGGCTTACCAGAGCAGTCTGGCCAAGGTAACGCCGGTTCCAAAAGCCTCGTCTTCCATTGACCTTGGTAACAAATATAGCTTCGCTCAGCTTTCGAGACAAAGTCGAACTCGCTTTTACACATCGCGTAACAAATAGGGACCACACCAAGACTGCTGAAAGTAATGTTTATACAGCCAAGGGCTCCATTTCTGGGGACAGGATACATGGTGCAAGCTGAAGACTTTTCTGTTAAAAAGAAACGAGAACAGAAAAAAAAAAGATTTGTATAGGGTATAAGGCTTTAAGCGAGTAATTAAGTGGTCGAAAGGAATGGGAAAAGGGAGAAAAATAATTCGGAAGGAGAAGGTCTAGATCTTGCGCTGCTTTCGAACGCCAGGCAGGTTGGCTATGACGGGCCATAACGTACATTTACGAAAGGACAAAAATTTGAATGATGAAGCATATTTAAGCTTTTTTGATAAAATTTTGTGACGAATGCCCTAGCATTTCGGTCGCGGTTGACAATTGTTTTTTACAGTTCTTCACGCCCTTCCCCCACAAAAGTTTTACTTATTAAATATACATATTCTTTAGCATTGTGCAAAAGCCGCATTAATATAACTGGCCTGAGTTCCACTAGACAAGGCGACTTTACGACGAATAAATGAATTCGTTTGAAGCGTCGGTTTCACTGACAATTTTCATAGACAGCCCCCATAATTTCCTGATACTGTGGGTCTACGGCAGTTAACACAAACTGCTAGCAGTTTGTTCGCTCACTTTCTGGAGTGTAAGTCAGAGCAGCTAAGTCGAAGCTTAGGATGATAAGAGTGCCATAACTCCCTTAACAGTAAACTTGTTTTATAATTCTAAGAAACAAATAGCACCACCCAAATTAAATGTTCTGCCCACTGAAGAGGTTTCATTTGAATGGTAACATCACGGGGTTTCGCCCACGGATTTTAAAGTTAATAAGAGACAACTGATCATCTTGCCATAATATGGTATAGGTGTGAAAAAGGATTTAAGCGGCTACCGTTTTTGATTGCTTTTGTCGTTCTGAACCTGCAAATTGAACGGATCGCTTAATTTGTTTTTCTCGAGATCGGTTGCTATTTTTTTATATATATATATTAGCTGTTTTCATTTTGGTATAGTTCTAACATAGCTATTTCAGACCTAACTCTGATTCTTAACAAAAATGGAAATTAATTTCCACTCAGTTTAAAACGGCCGGGAAGGTTGACTGTAAGTCGTATAAAATGAAATACTAAGCGTCAACGGACGTAAAAGCTAGTCCCCAGTAAGAGAACCTCTAAAAAAAGAACAACGCCTACTTTTAGTGCATAATTCCTGGCAGTCTTCCTTACCTGTAGTTGTGACAATTACGACGAGAACAGTGGAAATCAAACTTTGGAAAAACATCATGCAGATGGAGTGACAGCTTCGAATCTATACTCAGTTTAAAGAATGATCTTTTTCGTGCATACGACACAGGTCTCATCTGCCCTGGCCGAAAATTAACATACAGCTAACTGACATGTTGATAAAAGTTTGAAAAATGGGTGTCTTTGTTGCCGAGTGTTTGAAATGGAATTGTGTCTGCTAAACTAATTTAGCTAAATATATTCACCATATAACGAGTTAACATGCCAAGGGCAATTTAAAAAAAAGTACAACAAATTTTTTGGGGGGAGCCGCCTCCCTTTTTTTATTATTTGTTATTGGAAAAGTTGGAAAGAACAAAACCAACAGGCGTTACTGTCAACACAATTTATTCTACAATCCTGCGTAACATGCGTTACTCAGTTTCTTAAAATCAAATTAAACCAAATTTGACCGAAGAAGTCGGAATAACAGAAGAAAAAGCACCCGCCCGCTCTCTTTTTAATAGAAATCTGGACGAGAAACATTTGTTTTTTTCTTTTACTTGGCCATATAATATCGATAAAAAGTGTGATTTATGGAGGAAAATTAATGTTTGTTAGTTTTCGAAAACCTTTTTATAGTGTTGAAACATTAAGTCAGTCACGCATGCCATTTTTGTTGTTTTTTGTAGAAAGCTTTTAGGGTTGTGGAACTTTCTAAGTATTCTCTGCTAAGAAAGATACATGATATATAACCAATTAACTAACATGCCTTTCAAAGTATATGTACTAAAATCAAAGTACTCAGTCAAACTGGAGTGCTCGCGTTTCTCTCGCACCTAAAATTCCCTTCAGTCAAGCTATGGGATCAGGGATCAGGGGCAAACTTCTGGGATCAATACCACTTTAAACCTAAATCGGAAAATCATGTTTTATCCTAACAATCCAAACCTGCTACAGAGACAAGTTAAAACTGTCCGCGCAGCTCTAAAAAATTGGAACTACTGCTTGTTTATCGAAAGTCAACTATAATGTTAAACATTAATTATCTCCCTGGCGTGCCCTGTCCAAAGTTCGTCATTACATATCAGGTTCCTCAGGTCTCATCGCATTTCTCATCCAGATCATCGGTTGAAATCGCTCTAGAGAAGAAATTTAGTAGCTTTTATTGTGCGCTCATATATAAAAATCACGCCGTCTGTGTTATTTACTCATTGCCTCTGGCCATGGGGAAAACGGGGAAAAGGAAACGAAAGAACAGGGATCGCAGGTACGAAAAGAGATGAAGTTACTTTTAACCTTCACCTAGAATTTTCTGGAGCCTTTTTTCTGGCTGAAATTTTCGAAAAGGTAAGTTTTGATCTCTCTAATTTTCGGATCACTAGACTTTCAGCTAGGAAATCCGAACAGATGAAAACTTTTTAGGGGATAAAAATATGCCGATATCTACCGTTTAAATACTAATATACGTTCAACAATGCTATGTTTAAGTGGTTTTTAACTATATTGTCGTTGGGTGCCCCTGATTGGCTCAGTATTGCTGTGCTTTGCTGGAGATCTTGATTAACCTGTTTTCCCGATTTTATTCTTAAAAAATGGTCTCGTTCCCACTCACGATCGTCCGGGTCACGGACAAATTTTATTTTGTTAATTGTGTCATTAACAAAGTGGTCGAATCAGTTGGTTCTTAACAGCTCATATTTGTTGCAACTCCAAAAATGTCCGATTTGACCTAGCTTGACCTATCCGATTACCACCAGGAGTAGTCAATCGATAGAAATCGATATCAGAAATCAATCGACATCATTCGTCGATTATTATCGATTGATATCGGAAATCGTAGAAATCAAAGTCATGGAAAAAAGGTATCGATTGATATCGATCCTGTTTATCTTAATCCGAATTTTAGACTTCCAAAAAGGCGTATGCTGCATTAAACAAAAAGAAATCATCTTTAAAGGCTTTCAACAGACTCTGCGAAGATGGACAAACATGCTTTATAGATCCCGCAACGCCTTCTGGGTTAATACCGTAATTGCAAGTGTTCATGTTTCTACGTAGGAAAAAACGTAGCCTGCGTAGCAGGCGCTTGGAAGTAGCGGGCGAAAGAGAGAACGGGCGCGCGCGAGGGAGACACGCAAGGGGTGAGGGAGCTTCCTCTCCCCTCGCGTGTCTCCTTCTCGTCCGCCCGTTTTTTCTTGAGCCCACTACTTCCAAGCGCCTGCTAGGCAGGCTAGAAAAAACGCATTTTATAAACTGGGCGTGCCTTGACTGGGCAGCCCAGTTAAAAAATTGGGTTTCTGTTTCCTCTTTCTGCAAAGGACCGCAAAACAACTAAGCTTAAATATGGAGGCATTCCTAATATCTTCAAGACTGTCGACTTGATCTGAAACACTCTGTTTAAATTCAGTTAAATTCCGTTAATTGGTAGCTCGCACTAACGAGTTCCAGAGTGCTTCTCGATAAGGACTACTCTGAAGACTTTGTTAGTAAATTGGTCATGTAAAGTCAGTCAATGTACCGAACCATTCCAAATGTACGCTCGCCATCTTTTACTGTAGGTGGAAAGATAAACAGCGTGTGCATTTGGTATAAAGATTTCGTGTATGAGAAATGACAGGATTCATTCTTGCGATCACCTCAGACAAGTGGCCATGTGCTTTGCTTGAGGTCGCTGAGCTATTTTAGTATACTCTTATATCTTGGGCTCGCGCTAAGGGGCCCTGAGGACTATTTGTGCCAGAAGAAAAAAAAACGGCCCAGCCTATTTTTAAAGGAGCTGTGTTACGAAATTCGGCCAAATTAGGCAATTACAAAATGCCCGTTACATCCAAGAGAAACATAAAAATAACCGCTTAAAACATTAAAGGAAGGTTAAAATAACATAACAGATGCAACAGATGCCACTGATGGGCAAAACTGAGGAAGATTGAAACGGATTAAAATTAGGGTTTTTGAAAACTGTTTCCTAACAGTTTTCAAAGTTTATCTCTGCTGTTTGCAACTTCAAAGATAATGCTCAGGAGACATACTTGTTTGTCTCGAATCTCTGACTTCGTCATTTACCTGTAATTTCTTTGTCTACTTTAAGTTCCATATAGCGATTGAGGGCGAGTAATTGGCAAAATTAAACAAAATGAACTGGACTGCCGTGACACAGCCCCTTTAAGCTCGTTCGTTGAAACATGATATACCAAGTTGAAACATGATATACCAATTTTACCCCCGATAACTCGAACCATGATTTAAAAGTCGGGGAAGAACAATCTACTGGCGTCCGAAACACCGGGGGGTACTCCCATACATTACGTATACGGGTATGTGCCGCCAAACGGGGTCGTGATTTTGAAGCTCCTGATTTAGAACGGGGTATCCATTTCAGAGGCGTTTTCTAGAACGGGGTATAAAAAATTGGGGATCACGGCTTTATCTTCTGCTTAAAATTGTTGCTGATTATGAAGAAGCGTTTACCTTGTCGAACTAATAAAGAAATATCTTTAAAAAAAACAGGGCTATTTCAATTTACAGCAGCATTTACAGTCATTTAAAAATAGAAAACACAAAGTCTTGTTGACGGAGCCATGAAAAACTACTTGGTGAAACTCGAGCTTATTTTAAAATACGGCCGTGACACCCGGGCGTGACACACTGCGATATCCCGTAATTCTTGGAAGTCAACACCAGTGCAATACATTGGATTCTGAGAATCGAACAAGACGGTCTTCGCGTTTACCGAGTTCTGACCTCTCCAGATGCAATCCAAAAGAATATGTTTTCATCCAAAATTTTTGCTAGTGTCCTGTTGTGTTCATTGTTCCTCAAATGTGCTAGTGAAAGAGACATCTTCGTTTCACCAGGCGGAAATGATTCTTCAAATTGCAGTGCGAGCTTCAAATGCAAGACTCTCGACAGAGCTTTAGGGCTCGCTCGTGGATTAAACTCAACAAGAATATTACTGAGCAAAGGAAATTACTCGCTGAACACAAGCCACAGTTTTACGAAGATTGTTTCCTTTGGTCTCTTTGGAAATACTTCTTACGATCATGACGATCAAATCAGCTGTCAAATTACATGCGAGCCAAATGTTAGTCTCTCGTTCACCTTCAGCGAAAATATTTCCTTTGAGGGAGTCAAGTTTCGGAAGTGTGGTGGTTGGCATCAGAGTTCTGCGGGGATAAATGAGCAATACCCATATTTTAAGGGGGCAAAATTCAAGACTGCCTTAGATTTTCGATACTGCAGAAACCTTCGTATATCAAATGTTGAAATTTGTTCGTCCCCAGGGCTTGGCGCTAATTTGTACGATGTTGGGGGAGTTGTGAACTTCACAAACAGTTTGTTTGCAGATAATTACGCTTTAAACGAAAGTAGTTATGACAGATGGATTTTTATCAGCCCAGATGGAAGCTATGTTTACTCCGGAGGCGGTGTTAATCTCATGTTAAATCAATATAGTCACAATACGTGGAACGTGACTCCTGGTGAACACGATTCATATCAACACAATAACATTTACGAATTTTCAAATTGCCATTTTATGAGAAACAGAGCTATGTGGCTGAACAACACCAAAGATAATAACGGAATGAACACACTAAAACTTCCTTTTAACCGTGGAGGTGGATTAGCCATGTATTTCCAAGGGAATGCAAGTGGGTGTCACATTAAAAATCCAGTCATGCGTTTTTGCGAACAACAAAGCATCGTGGGGTGGAGGTTTTCAAGTTGAAATGAAGGACAAAACGGAGAATAATTCTCTTGAAGTAAGAGCAACGGTCTTTCGAGAAAACTTTGCCTCATTTGCAGGTGGTGGGGCTCGGTTAGGAAGCTTGCCGGAAAAGCATGTTCAACTTCGTATAAATCAATTCGAGATGACAAACTGTTCATTTGAAAACAACAAGGCAACATTGGGAGGCGGTGCGTCGCTGTATGGAGCAACAATTGCCACCAAGCACACGGACCCCGTTGTAACTCAGTTTTTCTTTAAGAATGATAGCAGCTGGATCGGAAACATTGGAACCGTCGGAGCTGCCGTCAGTGCTTTTCTAATTAACCGAAATGAAGACCTCATCGGACCGGAAATCCCATACCGGGTATGTTTTGAGAACACTGTATTTCGGTCTAATAAGGTAGTTCCCCTTCACCATAACCTAACAATTGGGCAAGGGACATTTTACAGCCAGCAGGTTCCCCTTATCTTTCAAGGGAATGTACAATTTGTAAACAATACCCAGTCTGCGTTGGTTCTAGATGGTTCAATAGTCGAAGTTAAGGACAGACTAAATTTTCTTAACAACACCGGTATCAGGGGAGGGGCGATAGCAATGTACGGACGGTCAAGAATTCTTTTGCACGAAAATACGTCTGTATTAAAATTTGAAGGAAACAATTGTGAGGACAAAGGCGGAGCACTGTACATTCAAGCCCCAGGCTCCCCTCTGGTGAGCTAAAACGCAACTGGTGCAGCTAATCAAGTTTGCTTCTTCGGATATTCCAATCCTGTGAAAGATTATGATGAATGGAACACAACTGTTATTTTTAAAAATAACAATGCCAATTTAGGAAGGTCGGTGTTCGCGACAACACTTCAGTATTGTAGGCGGCCCGGTGAGAAACGACAAGGGAACAATGTTCTAAAATGGAAGTTTATCAGATTCGACGACCAGCCATCAAATTTGAACACCTCACTTCTAAGAAGAGTTATGACGGAACCAGTGAACATAACGACCCATAAGAAAGAATGGGAAGTTGCCCCTGGTGAGCATTTTGATGCAACCGTTAAGTTGTTTGATGAAGTTGGGAATGTCGTCTCGGGGATTGTTAATGTCAGTATTGAATCAGCTCATTCTGTGAAACTCCTTAACCCATCGCGGTCGCTTTTTCTTTCAACCGAAGGAAGAATCACAAATATCACCTTGCAAGGAGAAAATGGCGGTATTTTTGATGTGAAACTAAATTGCATTGGAAGTCAACTATTGAAAAAACAGATACACAACGTAACACTAAAAAACTGTTACGCTGGTTTTTATTACTGCAGCGAAACGTCTTCATGCAAATGCGTGTCAAGAACTAACACGAGTTCGGCGAAAGGAATATCTCACTGTGAAAAAGGAAAAAGTGTTTATATAAAAGAAGGTTACTGGGCAGGAACAGTGGCGGGTAACTTTGTTACTTATTTATGTCCTCCTCAATACTGCAAGAACTCAAGGGTTTATAAGTATTCAGAGGGCCACGTCTGTAGTGATTCCAGAAAACCGGACAGCATCCTTTGCGGGCAGTGCAAGCAAAACTATACTATTACCTTTGGAAGTGAACTTTGTTTTAAAAGCTGCAGTTACTGGTACTTGCTGTACCTGTTGCCGATTGGCTTTGGTTTCCTCCTTGTCGTCGTCATAGTGATGCTAGTAGACCTTGATTTTTTCACTGGGTACCTGAACGCTTGGCTGTATTCATATCAAATTATGGATTTACTAACACCTGACGGATTTCACTTTGACCCGTTTATCGAGTTTATCACTGCTTTTACTAATGTGCACATAGAAATCGGTGGTCGGAGCTTTTGCTTGGCAACAGGATTAGACGACGCCGATAAACTAATGCTGATGTATGGCATTCCCTTTTATGTCTTGATCGTTGTCGCCATTCTAACTTGGTTAGTTGGTCGTTATCCGCGCTGGTGCTTCAGCAGAAAAGTGCTAAGAAGTTCTCCTTCTGCTCCTTTTCGCGCTGTTTGTACTATTCTTGTGTTCTGTTACACAGATATAACAAGAGTTTCCCTCCTAATCCTTTCTCCCGCCCATGTTGGATCAAAGACAGTTCTCTATTTTTATGGTAATCTCGATTTTTTTCATAAAAAGCATATCGCTTATGGAATCGTGGCCATCCTCTGGATTGTGATCTTTGTGCTTCCATTTCCGTTGATTCTGTTGTTTCGCCCTTATTTGACAAGAGAACTTCGTCCAGTGTTAAATCTAAATCGCTGGGGACCCTTTTTTGATGCTTTTCAAAGCTGCTTCAAGAATCAGTATCGGTGGTGTGCATCATTCTATTTTCTTTGTCGACTGGGCATTTTGTTGATGCACACTTACATACCGTCCGGTTCAGCAAAACGAGTCGTGTTAGAAGGCGCTTGCATCCTAATTCTCGTAATTTTGCGTACCTGAGACCTTACAAAGAAGCAAGGGATGTCAATGAAGGCGAGAGTAGCTACGAGTGGATTTATAAGTCAGATGTAGCGCTGTTGACAACCCTCGCACTCATCACCGTCATCAGCTCACCAATTGATAGTTCTTCTTTTTACTACCGAGGACGAAAAAAAAAAGGTTTGAAAGTGGTTGTATATGTTTTGGCATACGTTCCCTTAATAGTCCTGCTGGTGTTGGGTTACCGAGTTTTAAGGAGGTACTGCCCGGCCATAGATATAGGAAATTGCGTTACAGAGGAAGAGGCGATAACACCAATTGTTACCGAAACGTCTGATAGTGCTTGCAGCGGCCGAAGAGAAACATCTGAACTAACTACATCTCCTGAAAACAGCCTGGCAAGAAACCCAAGAACCAGAAGACCCAAGACTGTCTAATAGTTAAGATAGCTCTTACGGTAAGGGCTGGTTCCCCTGGAGGGGAGGGGTGACTCACATATTAAAGAGATAGGATAGAAGTGCCTGAGAAAAATTAGATTTTCTTGTTCAGACGATATCATTGCAAATGTGGTAGAAAATTGATTTGTTTTTGTTTTGTTTATTAGGAAATTGCCTTGAGGAAACTCTTTATGATAAACGATGGCAGTTTCCAAGTTCTTTAAGTTTCCCTCTAAACTAAAGCCGTGACTTATTAAGTCATTATGTACATGATTGTTTCTAATTTTTTATATTCTTAAAAGAATCGAATTACTAGGAAGTTGAGTATCAAACTGAAGACCTTATGTCGACGGCAATTAGATGAATTAGATTTATTTTAAGGAGAATGTCTTCAGTACAAGCTGTAAAAAACGCATATCCGTCGTGGTAAATTTTTATGTCATCTATGAAAAATTGTAGTTATAGCTTGTAATTGACAGAGGAGGCCTAATTTACATAAGCTATATAGTTCCCTTCAGGCCCCTGCCACTACTTTCTCCATTTTTGTCTCTTTTTTGTTCCTTTAATCATTTATCTGTGAGGCAAATAAGTCAAATACAAATACACTTTATATAAATAAAGTTTTCGTTTCGGTTGCAACAACTTATATGGGTGATTATCGACTAAACATTTTGACATTTTTTCGCAAGTCCAACCCACAGAAATGATCCTTGCTCACCGACGAGTCCTCAGTAGCTCAGAGGTTAGAGCATCCGATCTAGAACACGAAGGGTCGTGGGTTCGAATACCATCTGGGGCTCAGATTTTTTCTGTGTCCTCGTATGGCTGATTCTTTACACCTCCCTTTATTTCCTTCATGATATTAATATCAGTGGTACAATGAAAATAACTGTCGTAAATCCTCTATTAACCCCTCTCTCTAATAAGCCCCTCGGCCCCACCTTATCACTCACAAAATCAACAAATAAGACATGGACTGTTCCTGTAGGGTTGTCATGTGCTTAATGAGCTTTTCCACTTTGCGTTCTAGTTATGGAGAATTGACACCATCTTCACCATCTTCACAGTAAGGTGCCCCGTTTCGTTAAATTAAATAAGCTTCCCCCTCTCGATAAAGCCCCCAAGAACTTGCTTGAAATGAATGCCCCCCCTCCCCCTCTCCCCCTCGGGGACTTACTAGAAGATTACGGTATATGTTGGTTAGTGCGAGCTACGATTGCAAAGCAGGTGAATTCGCATGATAGCAACTGCTATACGACTGATGAGGCTGGCTGCCATGGCAAATGTACCACGCAAAATGTATTCACAATATTCCAAAACTCCATTAACAAAGTGATCAAGAAGTGACACTTAACGGATCTAAAACGACTCAAAACAGTCATTTGAATCTGCTTTGTTTTTATTTTCACGATAAGATGTTAAAATAGGAGTGTGTTAGTACGACGAAGAATAACCAATATACCGTAAGCCGGACAAGAGATGGTCATGAAAGTGAAGAATGATCATCGCAGTAAATTTTCCAATTTAAGCAATTGGAAAGAAGAAGCCTGAAAAAAAACAGGACTTCAATGGGATTCGAACCCGTGACCTCCGCGTTACCGGTGCGTTGCTCTACCAACTGAGCTATGAAGCCACACATTGGGAAACGGCTTGGAAACTAAAATTTCGAGGAAGTTTTTGGACTTTTTACATTCAGGGCATGAATTTTTCGTCATTTCAGGCCATGGAACCTAAAAATGAACCTAGCTAGCTGTAAAAAGGGGCAATACGGAGGAAATGCGTCCTAGCCGGCATGATCACATGCTGTTTACGGAAAATTCTCTCATCCATGTAAGGAAATTCTGTATTTTAAAGCCTCCCCTAGGGCATGACTCAGCAACTGAGGACATTTCTGCTACGTTTTCAATGTTGGTTAGCATGCAAGGATTTTTCCCATGCCTATCGTCAATGATTTGCTCACTGGTAATAGAGGGGGTGGCCCCAGAGTGGTTTTGCATTGAAATTGGCATGCAACAGAATTTCGCATGCCCTGTAAGTACAATTTGAGGTTCCGTGACCTTCTCACCCAGGCCGCGAGAAGCCTAGGTTCTAGTAATAAGTAATTCATACCCAGCAAAATCTCCGGCATGCCGGGCATTCCACATTCTCTG